TATATATGACAGTTCAGTTCGGATATCCGCGAATATCTAAATATCTAAACCGAAACCGACTCGTAGGTATCCGGTTTTTGGGTTTCGGTTTCAGGTTAACTGAATCGGCTCGCTTTTCGATTTTGCGGTTTTTTCTCATTTCTTCTTTCATGTACGTTGCCATCATAAAATAGAAATAATGAAACGTCATTGATCATTGTTTCCATCATTTTGTTAATTCTCACACGATTACGTTCCTGATACACTTCCGAACAACAAATACAGATAAAGATACAAGTGGCAGTTCGTGTCGAGTTTAGGTTGGAGGCTCGAGGTGATTGTTCAAAACACGGAAGAATATGAGACGAACGTGTCAAAAACATATACCGATATCACCGAAACCGATTAAAATCCAATCTAAAATCGTTTATGTTGTGTTTGTTTAGTTTTATAAGGAATAACACTCCTAAGATAACGAGTAAAGAGCAAAGGGCCACATTATCTATTTGGTAACCTTTTTATTAAATAAATTGCATGCCACATGACCCATCGGAACCGTGTACCGACAACCACCTTCTTCAAACGTACACTTCCCACCTTTATATAAATCCGTCATCATCACTGACCTGTAAGTTCATCTTTCTGACTCACACTCAAACCTTTTTCAACTCACTTTCAAGTTTCAAATTCTAAAGGCAAGTAGGCAACCCTTTTAATCTCATCTAACTTCCAAGTTATTCCTCAACCAACAACATTATCGATTCCCAAATTCTAAACACTCCCACAAACTCTTTATAAGTCTTTCGATCTTATCAAGTTTCAAGGCGATGAAACAGATTCAAGGGTTCAGAATTCGACTGAAGCTCGTTAAAGCCTTCAAATGGGTAACTCACGAAAGAAAAACGCATTCTAGATACAGTAAACTAAAACCAACAAACTGTAGAGATAAAGCAATAGCAAGGCTCTGCAAATTAGGCCGGAGTTTGAAGAGGAGTCTGAAGGAGCTTTGCTGTTCGAAACCCGGTTCATATTATGCTCGGATCGGAGTGGGAATCTCCGGTGAGAAAAAACCGGTGCCGAGAGGGCATTTGGCGGTGTACTTTGGTGAAGAAGAAGACGATGCGCATAGGGTTTTGGTGCCGGTGATATATTTTAATCACCCGTTTTTTGGCGAACTGTTGAGAGAAACTGAGAAGGTTTACGGGTTTGATCATCGTGGTGGCATTCATGTACCCTGCCGGATATCGGAGTTCGAGAATGTACAAATGAGGATTTGTTCCGCCGGTGGTTGTGGTGGAAGAAGCGGCCGTTCATGGCGGAGGTGGTTGTAGCTCATGGGCTACTACTACCTTTACCTTTTTTTCTTTGCTGCCAACTTTTTACGGCAATCTTGTATCCTCTTAAACTTATCTAAAAAAGAAAAGAATAAGTTTTTGGGATTTTGTTGATCTTTTTTTTCTTCCTTCTTTTTATGATTTTATCCTTGGTTCTCACTTTGTAAATAGAATTTCAATTTTATACTTTCTTTAAGTAATTGTGTTTTTAATTCCGCATGAAATATATAGTTATAATTATTAAAAAATGTCCGCTAAAATCTAAATCATGGTAAGTATAATTTTAATTCAAAAGATCATTAAAAGTTACCCAAACTCATTCCTTCTAAAATGAGATTTCGTATAATTGTTTCTAAAATGTTTAACAAAGGTTTGAATTATAATAATGATGTAGAAAATGAATACAATATTTTGAATACCATATAAGTTGAATCTGAGTTTATAGATAATTTTTCTTGTCATCTTGTGGTTTTAATTTGATATTGCAGAGGTAATTAGACAACTAAACTATTAATTTATAAATTAAAATGTTAAAAGTAACATCAAAACAATATTAGTAATCTTGTGATGCGGAGTGAGATGGACTCATTCACACATGGATGGTAATGAGAGTTATAAACAATTGATTACTCATATATCCTCTAATAAATCAAAATCTTTTTGCCACACGTTTTTTTCTCTTTCATTTAAACACATGATATTTTCTAAAATTTTTGAATTTTCTATTTTCCACTTGTCATTTTATTGTATTTTTTATTTTATTAAATTAAAATTCCACATTAAATATGCTAGGTAATATATATGTAATGTATTTATTAGAAAGGGTTTATATATGTAATGTATTCAATATATTAAAACATCATTAATTTTAATAATTCAAAATTTTTCTCATTTTTCTTATAAATTTAAACCCCTCAAATTGTTAAAATTTCATATTTAATTTTTTTTTAATAAACTCATTTAATACATGGGTCTCACACCTAATAGATACCATTAAATTGTATTAGGATGGATTCGAGGTTATGAGGCCCTTGACGGGTTTTCATGGGCTAATATCTTTTGGTCAAAACTTTATATTTTTATGAGTAGGCCTTGAATGGCCGAAATCCATTGGACAACAAAAAAAAAGAGTAAATTACATGAATGGTCCTTATGGTTTGGGATAATTTTTACGTTTGGTCCCTAACTTATTTTTTTTAACTCGGAAGGTCACTGCAGTTTGTTTTTGTTGCGCGCTTGGTCCCTGTCTTATCTAAAAAGACTATTTTGTCCTTAATTTTTTAATTTATTTAAATAAAGTGGGATAGGTAAGGTAAGGTAAGGTGGGGTGGAAGTGGAGTTGGGATGTGTTTATTTAAATAAATTAAAAAAATCAAGGGATAAATAGTCTTTTTAGGTAAGCCAATGACTAAACGCGTAACAAAAACAAACAATATGGAACTTCCGAGTTAAAAAAAAAATAAGTTACGGACCAAACGTGCAAATTTCCCCAAACCATAGGGACCATTCGTGTATTTTACTCTTTTTTTAAATATATTTAATCTTTAGAATTCCACCAAGTATTGTACTTTCGATTTTTTTTTCTTATTTAAAACGTTACATTTTGAAAACATCTACACAGTTATTTCAGTTAAAACTGCTTCCTATTGGGATGATATTGGTGTACCCACTTTCCTGTGTAACCATTTATTCCAGAAAGATCTTGATAAAAAAATCTTTTAATTTTTTTTAAACAAATAAATAACGTGAATAAGCAGCTAATACATACTAATTTTTTTATATTGTGTTCAATACGATACAATGATACATGCATCTTAATTCCATAAATACTTATATTTTTTGGTTTGTGTGCCACAGCCACTAGATCCTGATGATAGTTGGTACAAATGTCGACTCAACATTCAAAATTCTGCTCTCGAACATATTCAAATACTATAAGGTATTAGTGATATTTTAGAAAAAAAAAATATTGTCACCTAAAATACATACTTCCTCTTCCTCTGTCCTATATTTATTGTTCACTTTTGACTTTTGAAATCTTTATTATTTAACTTTGACCTTAAATATTTTTGTTTTTGATATATAATACTTGATGCAAAGTATATGAATGAATGTATTTTAATTTTTTTATATTGTTATAAGTTTCATCAAGTAATTTATAACATAAATAAAAATATTTACCAACTCACCAAACAAAATGTTGAAACAACGAAACAACATAAACAAAATCTGACACGTGCTTTTTTTACTTGTTATTATTCATTTGACGATATTAATAATTAGGACCTTTTAATTGTATAACATATATATATATATATATATATATATATATATATATATATATATATATATATATATATATAACTCTTTAGCTATGCATAAAACTTAAACAAATATATAAAATATAAATCGATTATAAAAATATACAAAAATAACTTTTTATGTTAAAAGGCTATAAATGAAATAGTATTACGTTTGATTGTATATAACTATAAATAGTTTGAACGTATGGTGGAATTGTGGGGCCACCACCTTATTTTTTACATATTCAATGTTAAAACTGCAATAGCCTTTTTATTAAGGATGATTAGATGAAGCACAAGAAAGAAGAAGAAACAGGTGGCTGTCTTCAATTTTAATTTAGAAATGAATAAAATAAATAAAATATTTAAAAATGTAATAGTCTTTTTATTATGGATTTTTGTCACGCGTCAAAACGTTATCGAGAAGCTTTTGGATAGATACTTCAAGACTCAAGAGGAAGACCGGTTCAAGTGAATGAGACCGCGTTTCCATTGACTTCGGCCGGTGTGAGCATTAACTTATACACTTAAACCAACCTACCCTACTCCGGTTTCATACTTATTGTCGACCGGCCCAATAGATGTTTTTCTTCTTTCTATGTTCATTGTACTCCATTTGGTTTTTACTACTTTAAACTAAATAAATTATTTCAGTTTTTTGTTTAGTTACTACACTTGCACTTGAGTAATTTTTATTTAATATTAGATTTTTTTATTTTTTAAATATTTTTTATTTTGTCAATGATTATCGACATTTAAATGTTTGAATAACTAACCAAATATTTTATTAGATTAATACGAAACTAGAGTGATGTTACTGAGGGTGTAATTCGATGCGGAGCTAATACTCACACAACATGTAAAACATACGTGCCTTTACAAAATATCAATATAAAATGACACACATACCAATCGACAATAATATTTATAAAAAAAAAAAAAAAAAAAAAAACAGTACCATTATGCAGAGGAACCAAACATATTAATACACAAAAGTCTTGGTCAAAATCTTAAACCCAAAAAAAATACCTCTATGTACAGAGAGCAAACCTGCCAACATAAAAAATATTGTAGCCAAACTATAAAATTCAAAAACTATTGTGGCAAAAATCTCAGATCTAAAACTATAATTTTGCTAAAGTCATTTGATTTTTATTTAATATAATAACATGGATAACGAATTTTAAAAACAAACTCAAAAGGTTACATAAGAATATAAAAGTTTAGCAAACGTGATGTATTTTTAAAAAATTATATAAATAAAATATGTGAAATATATTTTGGCAACCTAAAATATTTTTATAATACATGATTTTAAATAAATGTGTAATCATAAACCAAAGAATTGACGGATATGTGTCTTCAGGCAAATATTCAGATTTCAAGTTAGGTTGTAGAAGAAATATGTAGATTTATTAATATAATAGTTTTTGTATATATAAACCGTTCTAAAAATATATAATCAATTTCAGTTATCCGTTAGCAGTGGCGGATGCAGCCCCGTTAAGTGGGTGCATGGACCCCACTTAGAAGTGGGTCCCACCATTTTTGTTACTAATAAGCCCTTTAAAAATCATATTTTTACTAAAAACACACTCCTTAACACCCCCTTGTACATAAAATTGTCCCGATTGATATTTCTTTTTACCGAAAAACTCAATAAAAAAATTGAATTTTATGCTTTTATATATTTTTATGAAAATGGACCCCACTTATATTTAGTTTTGGATCCACCACTGTCTGTTAGGGAGGTTGGAGTAGGGATCAAAGTAGGTCCAAACCCGGACCGGATGGACCCGGACGTAGAAAACCCGGAACCAGTTAACGAAATTTTGTAGAACCGGAAACCAGACTGGTATATAGGAACCCGTTCCGGTTCGGTTCTGGCTACGGTACAGGGTAAAGTGGGTCTAGAACCGGAAAACCCGGAAACATCAAAGTGGGTAAGTTGGAAACGGCTAAAGTGGGTTTAGAACCACAAAACCCGAAAAAACCGAATTTTTTTGCATTTACTTACTACTTAGTGAGTTGAACTTTGAAAATTTTCATATTGATATCCCGACTTCGGGGGACTGTAAGTCCAAATTGAATATGAAACCAAAATTGATAAAATTATCGTCTAAGATAATGTAAAAACTCTAAACTACACTCCGAAAAAAAACCGCATGTCAATCCAACTTTAAACGAATGAGATATGCATGTGTTAACGTTTTCACAAAATACAAAGTACAAAAACAAATAGCTGAAAAGTTGAAAATTTTCAGCTTTGATATCCCGACTTCAGGGGCCTGTAAGTCATTGAATATTAAACAAAAAATGAAAAAATTATAGTTTAAAATCATGTAAAAACTCTAAACTATAAGTTGGAAAATACCGAATGTCAATCCGACTTCAAACGAATTCGATATGCATGTTTTAAAACTTTCAAAAAATACAAAAAAACTGAAAAACTTAAAACTTATAGCTTTGATATCTTAACTTTAGAGGACTGTAAATCAATGAATATAAAACTAAAAATGACAAATACACGTTGGAAAAAACCGTATGTCAATCCGACTTAAAACGAATGAGATTTGCATGTTTTAAACGTTTCACAGCAAAACCGGTTCCAGCCCCTAAAAGTGGTTATGGTTCTTAGACCCGGTTTACCCGGACCCGATGGACCCAAACCTGGATTAGCCGGAACCCGAATAA